AGTAACCATAGATGTCAGGAAAGTAAAAAGGAACCTTGGTGGGGTGGATCACTAAAGAGAGGAATACAAGGTTACAAGTAATTTGGAAGTCACAAGTGCATAAAATGGGGAAGCACTTTTACTGGGGTATGAGAAAGTAAATTCAATAGGAGAGGGAAGAAACATGGTAAAATCACACTAAGGAGGTCTGAAAAGGCTGTAAAAATCATATTATTATCTATTTAGCTAAATTAAATATAATACATGTAAGTCTGTGTGTGTGCATATACATATGCAATCCAAATGAAGTTATTAAACTTGAACTGACAATACTTTGCAGAGGACCACAGAGTGTCTAGCAAAAATTCCAATACCATCCATTAGAAACCCCCTTTTGAACTGTTGGTGAGCAAAGTCCAAGAGACCCCTCCTCCAAAAAATACAGACTATTATTTTGCCCTTGGATACCTCCTACAGGGGGAAGGTAACTTCCTACTGCTGAAGACACCATGCACTTTGGACATAAGACCCACAGGATCTGAGTTGGATATCTGACCTGAGAGCTTCCTCTCTGAGGACTAGCTTTCAACTACAATCTTCCAATGAAGAGAAGCAAGCCCCATTCATTTCTACCCAGCTGCAATGCCTATAAACAATAATGATAAATATAAAGGCACAAAAATGCTAAGGGTGCAATAGTGGCACTCATACCTTGGTGGTAGCCAACAGGTCTTTAATTGGACTTAAGGCCCACCCAACAGGACAATCATGTCTGTTACTAGCTATCAAAAGGGAGTAGATGGGATACATGAGAGTAGAGGTAGGAAACGGAAAAGGAAAATGATGCAATCATATTTTAATTTTTAAAAATAAAAAACAATAAAATTTAAAAATAGAGAATGCAAAACAATGGGCTATAGATCTGAACAGAGTTCTAAAACAAAGGAATTAAAATGGTTAATAAATAGCTAAAAATATGTTTAGCATCCCGAGCAATTAGGGAAATGTGAATTAAATCTATTATAAGATTTCATCTTACCTCAGTCAGAAATGCTAAGATCAACAAAACAACTAACCACAAATACTGGAGAGGATATTGGAGGAAGGGAATCCTCATTCACTGTTGCTTGGATCGTAAACTAGTACAGCCAATCTGGAAATCAGTGTGAGAAATTACCAAAAAAACTAAAAATCAATCTGCCATATGACCCAGCTTGACATATGGCACAAAAGAATTGACACCCTACTGCACAGATGTTTGCGCAGCCATATTCATTGTGCTCTATTCACTAACGTTAGGAGATGGAAACAGCCTAAATGTCCTTCACCTGGTGAACAGATAATGAAAATGTGGTTCATATACATTATTGGACACATTATTATTTCATTTATAAAGAAAAATGTAATCATGAAATTTTCAGGTAAAACTGAAACTAGAAAATATTATAGTGGGTGTTGTATTTCAGACCTAGAAAGTCTGTGTCATATGTTTGCCCTCATTTATGGATCCTAGATACAAATCTTCAGATGTGACTATATAACCTGGAGTAACCACAAAAACAAGGAAAGTAGAAAGCAACCATGTGGAGCAGGGGGTTCTAGAGACTGGAATAACAGGATATACGTGCTAAGAAGGAAGAAATGGGGAAAACCATTTCTTGGGGTATAGGGGAGGGAGGAGAGAAAAACAACACTAAATATTTGAAAAATGTATGGAGAATCATATTTTATATTTATCTAAAATTACACATAATGCATACAAGCATATGTGTATACACATACATAGTTTAAATGGAGTTGTGCAACTTGGGATGATAATGTTTCTCCCAGAAACATTATTTTTCTGAGCCACAGACAAAAGTCTCAGTATCAAGTACCAGAGGCTTCTTTTCATCTTGTTTGTCACGAGAGTCCAACATGCTACCAACACAATATAGCCTATTCCTATTGCCCTTGGTTGTCTCCCAGAAACTGAAGATAAGCCCTTGTTCCTGAAGACAACATTGTTCAGACAATGGACAAACTTTGAAGAATTGAGATGACTCTAATTTGAAAGTCTCTTTCCTGAAGACTAGCTCTCATATTACCAGAAGGAATTGTGCAAGATACCGAGAAAAGGAAGTAACCAATAGTCTTATCCATCTGTGATGGCTATGAAACACAAAAGTGACCAACAGAGTAAAATAACCTTAAAGGTCTAATAGTGGCATCCATATCTTCATGGTAAACAACAGCTGTCTCATTGGATATAAGATCTGCACAACAAGAGGGAAATCATGCCTAGTATTGTGAACCTAGCTAACTACCCATGGTTAATGAGTTCATGGACCCTAGAGAATAAAACTAGTCCAGCTACTTTCTTAAATCAGAATAATTCTTAAACATATTCTAAATTCTTATCCTTATATCCACACAGAATGTAGCTCTCAGGTGTCATTAAAGAAGCTTCTTTTTCCAGCAGATGAAGAACATTTTAGAAATCCACAACTAGTCAAAATACAGAGAACGACTGTGATACAGTCATATACATGTATTCCTTACACATACTTCCTTTAAAGGAACATTGTAGAAAAAGGATGGGGAAGATTGTAAGAGCCAGAGGGCCAGGACATCTGTTGCATGTTTGTGTCTTCTAGATATGGCAGGCAAGTCACAATCATGAACTCAACAACATGGATGTCTAAACTAGACCAGAACAGTGACAATACCAGTTGGCATGCCAACATGGATGGGGGAACTCTCACCGGGCCCCTCCCCTAGAAGAAGATCTATAGGTAATTAATGACTGATAAAAGAGGGAGAATTCGTCTTCCCAAGGGATCAAAGCCTTAAATGGTTTTCTAATACCAAGTGCAAGTAGTGTTTATGTATTTATTTGCCCAAATGTATATATAAACATATATGTTACAATAATTAAAGAAAAAGATGCCATAAATTTGAGAGGGTATATGGAAAGGAAAATCTAGAAGGAGAAAAGAGGGGTAAATTATGCAATTATATTTTAATTTTAAAATGCAAGTACCTGAACTTAAATATGCAACACTATATATGAGTAAGAATCTCATATTAACCTGTTTTTTTTTAAAGTTACTGGAACATTCTAAAATAAAGGTTACCTGTAAACTCCCAAGTCTTCTCAGAGCTGAGGGAAAGGTTTCCTGTAAGTCAAATTTATTTTTTCTCTTCATATAATAGAAACCATTTACGTTTACAATAATTTTGTAACATGATGAATCAGACAAACTCAAAGCTAAGATTAAAGTAAGGAAAAGGTCTTTATGTATTTGGTGAGAGAATGAAGACCATTAAAGTCAGTTGCCTATAATTCATTGTCTACTAATTTTAATTACTTTCTTTTACAAGTACTGCTAAAAATATGCCCATATCATCAAACAAAAGTTAACTAAGAGTGCTACCTTGAACATGTCTTGATGTAAGGGTAATATTATAGAAAAATTGAGATGGGAAATAAAGTCATTATATCATCAGTAATATTTAATGAGCATATACTATTTAATAAGGAATTGTCATATATTATTATATACAAAGATAGAAAACATTATTTCAGTATCTTCAAATAATTCAAAATTTTATAAGGAATAGATGAAATATGACTTCATAAATACATAAATATTTAGCCACAATTAGAATGACTGACAGAAAGTGTACTGAGAAAGAAAGGAAAAGTTATGGGAACACAGGGAGCATGGAATTTCTTCTTACATTATTACTGTCTTCATTAGTTTATAAATTCAAAGTATGAAAACTAAACAAAACAAAGATAGAAACAGCAATGAAGAAATTAAAATTTCATCCCAAAAGTAGGAACCAAGTTGCTACTTCTTAAAACACAAAGTCATAATGGCTTTAGAAAATTTCACTTTCAGAGATTAAAAATTATAAACATTAGTATTAAATGTGAAAAAAATAAATAGAATGCTGTGTTCACTTGAAATGCTTCTGCATTAAAATAATTTGATACAATTGAAATTATTTATTACATACTTTCATTGATAGATATTTGCACCATCTCGACTAAATATGAGGAAATAGTAACATATCAAAGCTATTTTATAGATGAATAATATATTTTTATACATATTTTATTTTCATCTATGTATTCCCTGATCCAACTTACTTTACTTTAGGATATTTAGCAGAATATCCTAAACCATCATTACCAATCACTATGTAAAGAAAACTTTCCAATATCTCAATGATTCATATTATCTTTAGAAGAGTTTCCATAGTTAAAAAAATACTAAGGACTGACTGCAATTTTGCCAGAGTATTCTTTGATTTGATTGTTATACAGAAAATTGAAGAAAGACGTCTTTGGTTCTCTCCTTCTCAGTAAATGTATTATTCACTTAATATCTGTTAACGTGAACATGATGTGATGGGCTTAAACTTATCTCTCAATGGCTAAAAATATAAAGTGTAATAAATTTTAATTACTAATAAAATTAATTACATTTAACTCTTTCATTGTACTTATTCCCCTATATTGCCTATCCTCTTCCTTTCTATAGAATAATGCATATCACATCAACTAGTGTTCTATATTTATATGCTGTCATTATTTCAGAATGCTTTCATTGTTTCTAATAATTACGTTAATTATATTAACACATTAGTTTAATGCTAATTAATACATTAATTCCAGTATCTACACAAGAATGGCATTAATTAAAACAAGGAAAAATTTTTATGCATGTGAATGTGTGATCACATTGTATTATTTGAAATTGAACCCTGGCACTTGCACATGCTAGGCAAGCTTACTGACACTATATCCTCACCCCAAACATGAAACTATTTTCATAATGTATTTACAGAAAATACAATGGTGTGTCCTTAAAGTTACAGAGTTCAGGTGGAAACTTTAAATACCGAAACATCATCACTGAAAGGCTGAAAAGTGCCATTTTTCTGTACAAAAAGTCTGTAAAATATGGTCAACTAAAGGATGAAGTGTGACATGGAGAGACAAGAATAAAATAGGTTTCAAGAGATCATACCTTCTACCCACATACGAACTTCAGTGGGAGAGGATGTCACAATTGGATCTCCCTGGAAATAGCGAAACAAGCGTGCCATCTCTCAGAATGGACAGAGAAAATTTCAATACCTAAGAATGCAATAGTAGAACTTAATCAGGTTAATTATTTATTCATACACTCTAAATTTCGTTATCATCTATTATAAGGTGTGGAAGTTTGGGGAAAATATTTGATCATTAGTTAATAATTTAACCATTATTTACTGAGCAGCTGTTTAGAAAAATACAAAAAATTCAAATAAATATCTCAAACGATTTGTTTTGTACTGAGAAGGAATTAAAAGATTCCACTAAAAAAAGATTAAAAAAATACATGAACTTTAATTAACTTTAAAAGTATAATAAAAAATGTTAAGAACTGTATGCTTATATGCACAGAAAACAGCTTCATGCAGCAGGTGGCATCTGAGTCAAACCAAAGAAAACTAGACAAAAAGGTGCCATGGAGGAGATGATAGAATTTGCCCCACCTACAAAATTAGATGTAAAATGCTTTCTGGAACCAAAATATTCATCCTGAAAATGTGAATCCTTATTAGTCTTGGTAATTTTGAAGCCCCCTGTCCCACTCCCCATTTTTTGCAGCTTTCATGCTGTATCATTCAACTCCTAATCCGTATATTAAGCAAAATCCAAGGCAGGCATGATGGCAAATCTCAGTACATGGGAGACAGAGGCAGAAGGATCAGGAACTCAAGCTCCCTCTTTTGGCTAAGTAGAGAATTCGAGGTCAACTGGGCTATGTGAGACCATGTCTTAGACAAAAAAAAAAAAATTTAAACCAAAGAAAACACAAAATGGCATATTAATAAAAATTTAAGAGATAAGATTTTGATATTGTGATAGTAAAGACACTCTCCAAACCTGTTTTTCCTTTTCCTTTCTATATTTTAACTAAATTTTATTCTTATATAGAAGTACTTTACAAAATGTAAACAATATTCATATTTTAATAGGTGTTCTAAAATAAACAAAGAAATTCTCTAACAAATATTCAATATAGGTCTCACATTGTCATCCTAAATAAGGAAGTTCAAATCAGATTAATTGTACCAACATTCTCTCCCTCCTCACTTAGCCCATTTTACTCAAACCCTTCTTTACATAATTATTTCTTGGATTACTAAGAAATATTTTGTTTACTTGTACCGTGCTCTTCAATAAAACTGAGTTTGAATTTGACTCTCAAATTGAAGAAATGGCATGGGCTAACATGATTTCTAGAACAATGCTGTCCAATAGAAGAACATTCAGAAATGTCAGAATCTTCTACATTAGCACTGTTCAAGATGGTAGTTATTAGTCATAGATGATTATTGAGCAGGGAAAATTGTAGCTAATGAGACTTGTGGGCACAATATATTTTTTGTTTAGTTAGTTCACTGACAATTTCATACATATTTGTAATGCATTCTGATTATTTTCAACAACATTTCTTATCTCTCTCTCTCCCTTCCCCATCAGTCCCTGCCCCTCCCTACCTGTCTCTTTCCCAGAAACCTGACTTCGTTTTTCTTTGTGACCCATTTACATTAACAAGAGCCATCTATCCATTAGGCCTGTTCACTGGAGTATGATGGGAGTCACTGGAATTAGCTTTAATTGTACTTTAATTTATTTAAAAAAATTAATGATTACTACATTGTCAACACAATGTTAGAATTTTCAGTCAAGTATTAGGGTCACACACTTATTAAACCATCTCAAATTACTAAGGCTACTAATGAAATAGATCTGAAAAAAATCTTGATGCTTACTGTCAGACCGCCAGCTGTCTTAATACAGATGAGAGCAGCAAGGAGTCCACCAGCACGAAGTGAGGATAGCAGAGACTATACAGAACAGAGAGAGTGGGAGATAACATAAAGGCTTAGGTAAGCACCACTGGTGAACTATAAAATCTTTCCTTAGTTACTATGAAAAGAATAAAATTTATATTAGTATGACACTTATGAAGTGCTGACCTTCTGCAGAAAGTTTGTTCCAATAAAAATGAAAATATGTCATTCCATTCAAGCACATTTGAACATTCAATAAGTAAGTGATGTGTGCTTACTATATGGCAAGCAAGCATGGGAAATTTCACTAGTTTAAAACACGTAGTTCTGCTGTGATTTTGTAGCATCTTCTACAGTCCTCTATTTTTTTTTTAAATGGGTCTTCAGCATGCAATGGGGATAATTTCCTCCATTCTTTTTTCTCTAATCTACCCAGATGATTTGATTCCTGCCTTTCTGGCACCCACTGCTTTTTCTTTTAACTGTTGATAAGAGGACTGTGGCCTGTTTTCCCAGACTGCTGCAAATCCATATGTCTGTTTATACAAACCATTCACCCAGAGTTCTTATCTCAGCTCTTAAGAATGAAAATAAAAGAAAGGAAACAAACACTGGCAAAATAAATTTTACAACTAAACTATCTGCGGTCTAAAATAGTGGAAAATTTTCTTTTAAGACCTCAGAATCTATTCCTATGAATGTTGTCCAGCTTTGAAAAGAGCTAATTAACCTTGCTTTATGCTGAAGGGCTTGGGTCTACAGCCTGTGTAGGGTGCTGAGCTGGAAACTGGAGGGCCCCTAATTATTAGCATTTTAATTAAGCTGTATGTATTTTAAATACACAATAGATGTCCTATTACCACATCCAAAGCATTAAGGCGTTAAAATCTAAAGCAAACCAAATTCTACAAGAGCAGCTGAACTGACCACGGTTATTTCTGTAAGAGAATAATATAAATAATGGTGACAAGGATCATAAAAGGTGAATCATGGGCTCTGGGGATTTAAACATTTAAAGGGCAGTTGGACTGCTATCTAATCAAAAACCATCCCCCGTCAAGGTGTGGGGGGTGAGGTGGGGGGGCAGAAAACGGGAAAAAGCCAACATTCTAAGGTTGGCATGACCAGCACAATATCCCAAAGGCTTGGCAAAGGCAAAATTTTGTGGGAAATTTCCCTCATGCTGAGCTCAAGTGTACCTTCCTAGAACTCACACCCCCTTTTCCCATCTCCTTCCCCGCGGTGTCCAAAGCTGACGCACTACCAGAAAGCTCGGGGTTCCCACCTCAGGAGAGGGCCATTCAAACTCAGGGCCACGGGGGGCCAAAGTGTGAGCGGCTCGGGCCGGCCCAGCACCGCTGCGCTCCCTTTTCCCGCCCTCGCCTGCCTATCCCCTCAGACTCTTGCCCAGCTCCGTCCTCACCCCGAAGTTCCGCTTCAGGTCCCTCCGGGAAGCTCTTCACACCGGGGGTGGGATGGAAGCGCGAAGCCCCGGGACCGGGACGTCGAGACTGGGGTCCGGAGCAGCGGCCTGTGGCCGTTCGCTGCCCGCTCCCCTCCTCCGCCCCCGGCCTCGCGCCGTACCTCCCGCGCCTCTCTTCCCCTCCCGCAACACGCGTGCTGCTCCCGGCTGGCCCGCGAAGGCGCCCTGCCCTCCCGAGCGCCCCCGAGGCGGCCCCGGGCGCCTCACTTGGTCACTTGCCTCTTTTCCCCCGCCGTCGTCGCCCCGCGGTGGCCGAGGGGCCGGCCTTGTCCCCCCCTGTCAGCGGCCCAGGCCGGCCATGGAGTCGCCGGCCGCCGCCGTCTCTCCGCCTCGCGCCCCCGGCCGGCCGCGCTAGCAGTCAACCGCCGGCAGGCAGGCGCGTGCTGAGGGAGCTCCGCTTGCCGTCGACGTGACGTAGGGACTGCTCAGCGGAGGGGTGCGGGGGCGTGCGCGCCGGCCTCGGCCCCCCCTCCCCCCAACCTCCACCCCCGGCCTTGACCCTTGCCCTCTGTGGACACCCAAAAGGCTCCCTTCAAAGTTTGCCTGCCCTCTCCGAACTGTCGGAAAAGCTGCCCGAGCGCTCTAGGGAGTCTCTGGCGACATCCACCGCACACCCTGGGCACTTGCCGAAGGAGCGTGAATTCAGTCAGCGGAGGAAGAAAAGTCAGGGCAGAGCAACAGGTGGTCCTAGATGCACAAATGAAAGGATTCCCCCCTGGAGACCTAAGGCAGAGGGGAGACGTGCCCCCTCCGAAAGTCTGTGGGAAACCTACTTTTCCTTTCCTAATCTGCACAGAGCATAAAATTGAGGTCCTGACTTCGGGGTAAGGGCGGAGGAGTCGGGAAAGGCTAGAACCAGGGTCTTTTGTAGTTACCCAATGTTCCGCGGATGCTTCGGATTAGTTCAAGTAGTTCCCCGTATTAATGTGCCGTGGACGGAGATGCTGTGTGTTTAAAGTAGACCCACGGAAGTACCTTGTTTTCTCACTGCAAGATAGATTATTCTGTTTCATCGGAGCACAGGTGGTGATAAAAAAAAAAAAAATACATCCCTTGACCCCCGCTGACGCTGTGAATCTGATTCTGTAGCCTCCATTTCAGACAATGCTGAAATTATACTCTGAGGCTCTCGCAGCCCTCGATGGCGTATCTGAAAATCCCTTTTCCCTGCGCCAACCATTATTGAAGCTGTGGGCGACAGACTTTGTACCACGGTGGCTAAATGCATATATTTCAAAATCCTTTATGAAAGAAAACATCTGAAAGTGACAATAAAGTAAATCAAGCTTTCTATTAATACCCATAGTCACTGAAAAACATTTCTCCAAGGATTTCATCACCCCCCACCCCCACCCCAAAGGCTGTCTGGTCCACCAAAGGGAATTACTGAATTCTGAATATACCTGAAATTAATATGGAAAATAATGGTATTTAGTTCTTTCATTTTATAGATGGGAAACTGAGGCTGACATAGAAAAATACTTGTTTCAAGTTACACGTTGGAAAGAGAGCCTAAACTTCTATACCCCATTGACGCACTTTCGCAAATACCTCACACATGTCATATTTAAACATCTCAAAAGAATGGAGAATTTTGTGAGGTCAATATAGGTTTGCCTCCCAGGATCTAGGCATGAGGAAGAGGCAAAGGCAGTAGGTGGAGGGTGGGGGGTGGGGATCCAAACACCACTGATGAGTGAGGGAAAGCAGATGATGATGAGCGGGGGCGGGGGGGGGGAGTAGATGCAACACAGAAAAAAAAAGCATTTTACAGACATGAATATACATGAATCACTTCAGCTCAAATGAAATTATTAGAGCCAGTTAGCAAGCAGGGGAAAATATGCTGGCTCATGTCCATTTTTACAAAGGTAGATGTTTACCACCTTTATCAGATGTCTTAAAGTACATTCTCTCCTCCTTGTTCATTTTATGTATATATGCTGTACATATGTAACTGTTGTTATTATTATTATTATTATTATTGACATAACTTTGGGATACCCACAATAAAATTGTCTTAGGTTTCAGTATTTGAGTGCACCATTCAAAAGCCTTTGTGTGTGTGTGTGTGTGTGTGTGTGTGTGTGTGTGTGTATACAGAAGCTAGATTGCGGTTGGCACATTCAAATTGTTAAACTTACTTTCTGTTATTTAATTAAAAGGGGCATTTTTATTGGAGATTTGTTTAAAGTTAGGGCATAATACTTCATTTGTTGTTATTGCCAAGATTTCAGCATCCTGCAAGTTAATCTGACAAACTAATCTGTGCTAATTTGTTAACAATTATTGCCAACCTCCCTCTTAAAATATGTGTAATTTAACAGTAGCTTTGTGTAATGTCAATCACCAAGACCTGGCAAGGTTTAATTAATTATACCTCCTGCCCCTTTATGTTTAGCCCTTCAGACGTTATATGTACACACACACACACACACACACACACACACACACACACACACACACACACATGGATATGTGTATTTATGTGAAAAAGGAAGCCAACTGAGAATGAAACATTTCAGGTATATAACATAACCTAAAATCCTTTTATTTTAAGTAAAGGGATCTGAATGCACAGTGTGGGGATAATAGTATTACTGCTTATGAATATTGCGTCACAGATTTCAAAAGAGTTTCATTTGCACCTTATTTCCTCTAGTAAATGATATACCATTAGCAGAAAAAAAATGAATTCTTAGGAGTACATAGCCACCATTATATTTGTTACCTTGACAGTAATTATAAACCAAAGCTTAATAAAAAATCAGTAGCTCATTGGCATAAAAATCAAACTACAGAGTACTGCCAGGGTAATATTTGCACAAAATCTCTGACACAATTTCTGTAATAACATCCATATCATATATTAGTATAAATATTTACATATTCTCAAGCTATTCTGAATATATTGTACTCATATAAACATACGTGCATCAACTCTTTCTCTCTCTGTCACACACACACACACACACACACACACACACACACACACACAGAGTTCCCTTGCCTTTTCTATCACGTGGCAGCACAAGATAAAAGTGCTATGGCATATTCGTCTATTTTATATTGTGATATAAATGAAATCATGAATTCAATTTAACTGTGTAATCACAATTAATTCATATTTCCTCTTCCCTTCTTGTAAGGTTCAAGTACCTCAGACAAGATAGACATCTCATTTGCATAAACAGAAACAATTCCATAAAAATACTCAGTTAACCTGACATTCATCACAGTGAATATAGTTAATAATGTATTGCTCACTTCATATTTATTAACAATAAAGCATCAGAAGCAGATCTTAAGTATCCTCATCATAAGAGAAAAGACAACTATGTCAGATGTTAATTATCTTCATCATGATAATCATGTCACAATGCACATGTAAACCAAAACACCACATGCTGCATACCTTAGATGCATCTACTTCTTATATTTGTCAATTACTCCACAATAAAGCTATACAAATATCAATTAAAATCCTTTTTCTCAAACAGCCTGGAAATTTAGTCTTCCCAAGCAAAATATAATTTTGCACATTAGAAAATCAGAAATATGCTTCTGAAGATA